ATTGTGAAAAAATTACAACCACACTGAAACCCACAAATCCAGATTTGAGGTCTGCAAAATTAATTAGGATATATGCAATATTAGCTTATATTTGAGGTCGCACCATGATCGAAGTCATGCTTTCATGGTCATTCCCAATTCAAGGTTTCCATGCAGTCAGACCCAGTTATACAAGGGGCCGATTGATCCTCCATTCCCTAGGCCTAAACTATATGATTAGCTGCACATTATTGGCTGGGTCAAGCTCCGTATGGTGTAGGATAATTTGTAGCTAGGGGTGTTAAATTGGCGGGATCTATGGCAGGTAAGATAGCCATAAATATCTGTTTGATCTATATTGGATTGAATTAGAGTAAAAAAAATATTGCAATTCGATTTCTACTATCAAAATTAGTAATAAAATAATTTGATTTCGACTATCAAAATTAGTATTTTTTTTATTTTGATTTTATAAAATTCTTAAAGAAACAAATATCACTCTATGTTCATGGAGGAATTTGAAACTTTTGTGAAAGATTTACCAAATCGATTAAGACTAATTTCTATCAATCATGAAATTTTATATCTTAACCAAATCAATCATGAATTTGTTTGTTGTACAAATTTGATCGATTTGGTTAAATATATTAATTAATATAACATAATTTTATCATTAAGTAGGAAAAAAATCCATGTTAATAACAATTCATTATATATATATAACGAATAAAACATAATAATCAACTCATAGTTAACATTTATCATATATACATGCAATTAATATAATTATCTTACCATCATCACAAATAGCTACCACATAAAAATATATACCAATGGTATGTCAATTTCGACCTGATCCGTTTTACCCGACCTATTTGACCTTTTTGTGATTTTTTTTTATTTAAAATTTTTTAAAATTTTTCATTACCCCATAGAAATATTGAATAGAATGAAATTTTTTTTTCACGGTAACTTTGAAAATGAACATTTTAAATGTAATGAAACACTTTAGACATTAGTAATAATGGAAGAGATTGTTGGTCATCTTTTCGTTATTTCAAATAAAATGATCAAAGATTTTTTAATGAGAAAAATCTCTTTTTTCCTACGGGTAATACCCACCCCATAGGCGGGGCAGGGTGGACATATGTAACTCTCTTCGACCTAACCTGTATCGACCCGTCTCATTCTCTGCGCGTTTTTGCCTAAATTACATGTAATTATACTCAAATGACTAAGGATTATACTTTGGTTACTTCATTTTTAGCTATAATGAGATGCCAGCTAGGTGAGAACCTCAATTTCTCGAATAATTTTAACTATATTAATCATGCTATAGTTTGTTTCTTGGATTTTTAACAAAAAAGAAGAAGAATATTTCTAACATTTTCCCTTTAAATCACATACCCATATGAGTTGATCTGCCCTGACCCGCGCTCTATGAGAAATTACCCGATCTGGACCCCGACTTACCATGGAGCGGGTATGGGCATCGAGATTCCCGTACCGAAGCCGAAAAAGACGCTCGAGAAATCTCTTTTCTGCCTGCCATATTGTCATTCTATATGGTGGTTCAGATTTTCATCCAACATAATGTATAAGGTATATCCAAATTATGAGCTCATATGTTGTTACTTGAACTCTACAAGAATAAATACAATATAAGAACAATTATTAGTTTTAATTTTTTATGTGTCCAAAAAAGAGGAACACTTGACTTTTGAGTGGTTATGCAAAGTATTATAGCTAGAAGTTGTTAAATCCCCTTATATTTATATTGGTAGGATTAGAGGTGGCAAATGGATTGAATTGGTGGATCTATGGACCAAATGGATTGGATCCAACGAATTGGTGGATTCGTGGATTAGATCAAGTGGATTATTTATGAATCCAAATGACATCTTCAACCGATGAACAATATGTAAAATGCGAAAAGTTTAGGTACTAAAGTGTCATAATAAAAAAATTTAGGTACCAAAATGTAATTTTCCAATGATATTTTCGTATAAAAATTAAATTTTAGGTACCAATATATAAAAAATAAAAATTGTATGTACTAAACTGTAATTTGCCAAATGATTCATGGATCCAATCCATGAATCCACCAATCCAATTGGATTTGGATCAAATGGATTGGATTAGTTGGATATTTTTATTGGATGGATGGATTGATTGAATTGAGAATTTCCACCTCTAGGTAGGATAATGTTTGAATAACCTGAGCTACGTGCTTTGATTGATGAGCTCAATAAGACTTCATTTCGATTGTTGTTGTGCATCATGATTTATTTACACAGTTTGAATTCGAATCCACCATAGCTATGGAGTTTCAGCGAGGGTACAAAATCTTAAACTCTAGGTTTTTTTTATATGCCAATTATATAGATTATCGAGGGAATGGAGGTTTGTTGGATATATATGCGGCCAAGCGAATATGAGTCACGATATTATTGTCTTCATGCTTCTATAACTTTGCTTTCGACCTGTGTTACTGATTTTCTTTTGCTTTATCTGTCTCGGGAAATGACTACTACCTCTACATAAAGACAACGCCTCCCATTTTATTAGTTGTGGCATTGAGGCATCATAGATATCTACTCATTTATCAGGCAAAATATATAGGTGAACTTGCAAATTTGCTGCAACTCCAAAACCAAATATGAAGAGAAAGGAGCAAGTGATCCCACACTACGATGATTACAAGATATCAATTGTCTACAAATTTATAGGAGGCTTTTATCTGGTAGGTGTTCCCTGTTAATTTAGAGCATCCCCTAAACTGCTTCACGAATTTTAATTGACTAATAATTCAAACTATGACCACTAAACAATCGAACAAGCTCATTAGTTGCATTTTGTTTAGCAAATTATATATCATCACTGTTGTTCCATCTCACTGACTTTAGGCGCCATAAAAAACACAAAACTAAAAAGAGAAAAAGAAAGTATGTCAATAACAACTTTCCGGCCAACGGGCCGGACTCTGCGCTAGTAGAGAGTAGAAAAACTATAAGTTAATTTATTGTTTATTATTTATAATTATTAGTTTTCACTATTTATCATCCATAAGAAGTATTTATTTATGATTTATCTAATTAAGAATAATTGTTACAATTTACATCAAAAAATTGTTTACACAGTCAATTAATGATACAAATTGTTTTTTTAACTATTTATAATTACTATTTGTTTTAGCCATGCAAAATCTAAGAAATGTCAAAAGACTTTTGGATTTGATCCAATGTTACATGGGTTGGGTTCTGATGAAAAACTATATATATATGATAATTTTTTTTGGTAATTTATTATATGAGAAAATTTTCCATGTGTGAGTTCTCACCATAAACTATATCATAATTTCAATATCTCAATTCTCAATTTTAGCAGAAAAATATCTCAATTACGAAGACATTGACGTTTGCTATGTCAATTTTTTTTAATTTATTAAGTGTAAATCCAATTAAAAATATATAAACATGTAAGGAATCACTACTAAGATTCAAAATCACAACCAACAAATTTCAAATCATAATTTATAATTAATTAACAACACCATTTATCTATACAGATCCCTATGCATACAAAATAATCTATGAATTTATCACAAGTTCACAATAAGATTATTATTATTATTAGAATGTGTTTTATGCTTCTTAATCAGTTGTTGATATTGAGTAAATATGAGATGAATTTAGGCTGAATTCTATGCTAGCAACAAAAATTTGTAATTACAAATCAACGGTGTCAACTTAATATATTATGAACTGAAAAAAAATATGTTTGTTATTATTATTATTTATATTAAAAGTTACCCGATCAATGGCCGGGAATAAATCTAGTTATAAATAGTCATATATAAATAACATAAATATTTAACAATTAACTTTTAAATTCATGAAATAAATGATAAATTTTATTTTATTAAATTCACTAAAATGACGTCATTTTGTTTAAAGATCATAAATCGATCATATACCGGTCATACCCAATTTTAAATACTCTCAAATGATCCCTTCTCGTAATGAGAAGGTACATAAGTCTATTATGGTCTGATCCGGTATGAAATGAACTTATAATCATGGAATCGACTCGATTATCAAATTATAGATTATAAGTTCATAACCCTAGCCCATTACCATTTTGGGTGGAACAGATCTACTAATTTTTTTTATTCCATTTAGTTAAGAGGGATCTTGAACTATTCACATCGCCTTCATTATTGGTAGCGATTCAACTAGGTTCAACTGGTGGCAGGCCGGCCAACATGACAACCATGGTTTTAATAGAAATTGCCACACTGGGAAGAATGGTTGTCACCCGATGGAATGCCAGCATGTTGAACCACGTTGACTCGGGTTTTAATTAAATAATTAATTTATTATTTATTTCATGAAATTTAAATTTAAATGTTGATGTTATTTGTTGGTTCAAGTTTAAAAGTTTGGGTGTTAACTATTAACATTAAATGTTGTATTTATATGCTTGGACAATCGTCCACAACTTCATTGTTTTGTAGTACTATAAAACTCAGTCCGGTGGTCATAATTTGGGAAGGGGAGATCCAATGGTTGATATCATAAAAGGGAAAGGAGGGAAGTAGGAGAGAGGGAGAGGCTGGTTGGATTTTGATGGTCGTTTGCCCAATTTTGGAGTTGACCCTCACGGATTCCGATGCTGCTAGAAAGTTCGCCAACTCGATTATATGATGAAGTTAAGGAGCAAGAGGACACCAACAATATGATGAAGCTACCCATACGCGCTTTCGTCGTCAGTCACTTGGAGAACGAAGTCAATCATAATATAGTCGCCTTTGTCATCCATAAATTGGTACTTGTCCAACAACTCTTATATTTGACTGAGGGTGAGAGGGTCTGACAAGTGGTTGAACCTTCTTCCCTATGATAGGATTAGGGCTCGAATATCCTCTGTAGAGTTGGCAGGGTAATGAAGCTCCCCGCCCTCTTGGTGAGTCATCAGGCACAGATAGCTCCCACAGTCGCTCTAGTGCTAGACTCTCACTTGGCACGTCTGGTGGTGGTTGCGGAGGCCGTCCCGCTACACTCCACGAGCAACCACTGAGCAGTATCAGAGGGAGGAGTAAAATCTAGAGTTTCAAAAGGACGAGCAGCATCTGGAGCTTCAAATGGAGGAGGGGTTTCCAAGGGAGGAGCAGGATCTGGAGCTTCTAAGAGAGGAGGAGCACCTGAAACCTCCAAGGGAGGAATAGTAGTTGGTTGAACAAGTTGGCGGGGAAATGGTACAGTCAATGATGGAGGATGTCCAGTTAAGAATGTTGTTTGAGAGTCTAGACGAAGGAGCTCTTCATGAAAAGAGATTTTCGTTTAACATGGATGAATTGCTGAATGATCCGAGGAACTGAAGTGAAGGCAACATGTTATAAGAGAGGAAGAGGGAGAGAGCATGGGCGGAGGTAGCATGCAAATAGGGTGTGCCATGGCACACCCTTGGATTGGGACTAGAATATCAAAAAATAGGGGTATTAGTTTATGCTATAACTAGGATTTGAACATGGAACCCCATATTATTAGCTTTGTCATCTTTCATTAAACTACAATTACTTATGTGATACACTAATAAGTTTTCTTGTATATATATAATTAATTTACGTTTACAAAAAATAAGTAAATTAAAAAAACTCATAATTGTATCCTTATTCAAGCAGTAATCGGAACGTTAGCCCTAACAAGCAAGACTTCTCCCAGTCCCACCTTTCATCTTCCTTCGTTCTTCTTTCCCTTTCGTCAATGAACTACGTGAAAAACACTCTTCGGAGTGGAATGAGTGACGATATCATGAATGATTTTTTGGTAGGATACATTGAGAGTGACATTCTTGATAGTCTGGATGATGAATGTATTTTACAAAGTTTTCAAACTATGAGAATTCGTCATGGGTCACTCTTAATAATTGATAGTCACTTTAATTTTTTTTAAGTTGCATGGCACCCCCTTACCCAAAATCCTGGCTACGCCACTGGGAGAGAGTATTAAGGAGTTTGTTCTTAGGTGATGATGACAAATCTTGCAGTTTGCTCTGAGGTATGATGACTAATCTTGTAGTTTGTTGTTAGGTGATGATCACTCATCCGTTTATTACTTATAATGCAGTCCCTTTTACTGGTTTCACTTGGCATGTGTTAGGAATGTAATTGTACCGACCACATTACGCACAAGGTTTGTGGATAGTTCTAGAGAATTGTTAGTATGGAAGACAAGGGCTACTACTTAGAGATGAGACAAGTGGTTATTGCAGAGATTCCGGGCCGATGAGATTCTATATACAAGAGACAGTTCAATGGGACGCTAGAGGTAGTAATTCATAGGTTGGATCAAATGAGTTTAGGATGGTGTGTAGTGAGCATTGGTTCAAGGAGGTGGATCATGAGATGAGTTAGGTATAGATGATGCAAAGTTTAGATAGCAAGTGTATCGATGGAGAGTTACTCTGAGCACGAATATGGTAAATGGTGAAAGAAAACATTTTTCTTAACCGAAATTGTCAAGAGAGAAACGGCAGTCCAAAGAGACACCTCACCCCTAATAAAGTCCAAACACCCCAATTACAACATTAACCAGACATTAAAGTCAAAGACTGGTTACGATTTTAATATGGCAAACTTTTGCTGCTTGTATGTTTAGATTTGACAGGAAGTATCAGCGAAAAAATCAAGAGGGAAAAGCAAAAGACTGGTTAAATCTTTAGTTTGGTTCTCTCTTCTGCCTGCTGCAGAACTTTTGTTCCAGCCTGAGCTGCGGTTGAAAGATAACTAACAGAATGGCTGCTTAGATTTTAAAACAGAGAAATTTCGGCACTCAAAATCAGAAGTTTTCTTTTATACATTCATGATGGGAGTTATCTTATCTGGAGCAAAATTGGGAACATTCCATAAAGTAGTACAGCAGGAGATCTCATGTTCACATCTACAACACAAATATTGCTTCCTTCCCATTCAAAACTGGGAATGTCAGGCGCCCATGACAAGTAAAAATACCCAGATTCAAACGGAAAGAAACAAGCACGCAGTGCACAATACTCATCTCTCACTCTGGATAGTTGTTACTGAATGGATTAGCTGATGAGGTACAAAATGCTGCAGCTACCATGTATAACTCTAGATCCAATTTCTGGTAACCAACTGGAATCCAAACGGCCCTGCTTACTTAAGGTCCATCTTCTTGCGCTGGGGGAAAAAATCGAAACGATAAACAATTGAACAAGAGTCGACTTGTGTGCGTTTGAAACGAATGGAGAAGCGTGATACAAAGAGACGAGACACTCACTGCTCAAGATGAAGCCTTTTAGTAAGCTCTGGGCTCTTTCTGCCTGCTCGGGAGTACCCGATATTTGGATAATCTTTTTCATTCACATCTGTCCTGTCTTCAACAAGTTTCACACTCGCCCCAGATAGCTGTTTCCACAGTGACCAACCCCATTAGATTTAACAAACAACTTAATTAAGAATCACAACTGAAACAGTATTCAGTTGCCCATACATACCTCACTTATCTGAGCAAGTTTATTTTTTGACTTGGTCACCAGCTTGGGAACTGCATGGTCAGGTATAACAACTTCGAGTATGCTCCTGGTCACAAGTGTCATAGGAATTCTGAATAGCACAAGGGAAGGTTAGACAGGGAAAGAAATACAGAGCATGCCAATAAACGAATTGCCCTGAAAAAACAGATAACCAAGGTACCTTTTCATGGTAGCTGGCACATCTTCACGTTGTTCACTTTCATTTGGTCTTGCCGTCTCAAGAACTGATCCGCCAGAATCCTATAACAAATGGTTATGCCAAATTTTTAGGAAGCAGCAGTAAAAAAAAATTCCATTTGCCTTTTCCTAATTATGCAACTGCCTATATGCGCATCAAAGGTAACAAATGACAAGAGATGGGAAGCAAACAACGAATTCTCATTAACCTTGGACGATTGTGGTTCAGCAGGACAGAAAGTTCCACGGGAAGGAGTCGCATTATTCTCGATGAAGCTGCTTCCACTGGTAAAACTGCATAAAGAGACTGTGTATCTTTCTGGAAGAAGTCCTTGTACAAGTAACTTCGCAATCTTGATGTCACTTCCATAAGAGCATCACAAGCTGCTTTTATTTCCCCTTCTATCTGCGTGAGCAATTATTTTAGGAGGCACACATGAAAAGAGAAACGTTCAGTAACAAACTAGACCAGTCTACAACAGGATCATCATAAGACATTGGGCTTCCTTTCTCTTGTATCAATATAAATTACCCCAACCTGAACAAGCTCATCTGTCCCTGATATAAAGGCAGGAACTTTTAACTTTGTCATGATCTGAACTTTTGCACCAGTGAGTCTTTCCATCTCTGACAACAATTCTCTTCCCACCAGACAACCAACTTCACTATTTGGTACAAGTAGCCAGGTTTTTGTAACGGAGTCTTGATCTAGGACAAGGTCAACGATGCGAGTCTGAATATGCAATAATGCTTCTTGAGCAGGGAACATGTCATCGTCAGGTCCCTAAGTATGATGAAAAACCAAGAAGACTTTTAAGCCAACAAGCATTTTACCTTGGAGAAAGAACAACAGTTGCCAGCGCCTCAGATGGAAGAAAGTACATTAGTTTGGCAACATAGCTTGCGTATAAAATAGATGAAAATGAAGGGGATAAATATCAGCTTATGAAGAAACTAGATTATTGACACAGCAAATTCAGCGAGACAAAAGTGAAACTGGGTACCTCTTCTGACAAAATAGTGATTTTATGTTCGCCTGACCCGGATGAAGGGTCAGAAATCTTAATTTCTACACCAATTTCATTTTGGAGAAGTTTCAATATCCCATCTGCCTCTCCAACTACTATATTGATCTTATCAGTAGGGCAGAGCATTCGAAAGACGAGTTCATCCCCGTCACTTGACTGCGTGCCATCAGGTAGAGAGCTAGAGTCGATACCAAATTCGGGCATCCGTGCAGAATAATTGTCGCCCCTATAATTGTTGCCAGAACTCCGTGATCCAAAAGAGTGTCCATCGTCAGATGATCGGCATGGGGCATTATTCATGTGAGGAACATAATCTTCATCTGGGAAAACCCGTTCAGGTGAATGTGCTCTCCCATGAAAATTACTGCGGTCCCGGTGTTGACTCTCTCTCAAGCGAGACGAAATTGCTGCAATAGCATTTTTGACAGCATCTGCATCACCAACTACCTGCCAGAGATACAAAACTACATGACACGCTCAACATGATAGGTTTCAACTAAAAGGATTTCTACCTTCCAGCAACATACTGACAATCAAAATCATATCTAGCCTCAGGACCTATACAAGTTCAGACGTAACTATTTCCTCAGATACGCAACCTGCTTAAGAGAGGAAAGCAGAAAATTTGATGGAAGAAATATACTCGAAGTTCCAATTTCAGTTTTAAAATGTAAGTCCGGCATTATCAATAGCAGGGAGGAGCAGCAGCAGCAGTTAGAAAGAAGTATTGCTCAAAACCTGAACAATCTCTTCAGACATGGAAACATCGTGGCAAGGTACGATCTCTAGGAAAAACTCTAATCTGGGTCTTTGTCTCCATCCTCATTTGCTCAATAATCTTCCCACCTTTCCCCAACAAACACCCAACATGCATTCTGGAACCCACCAATCTCATCGCCACTCTGTTATTAACACCGCCGCCGCCTCCGCCAACGAACTCAGACTCGCTCTCCAGAATCCTCTCGTGTATCAGGAAAAGGGCCTCCTGGGCGGGAGAGAACGACGGCATTCTCCCTTCCGGATCCCTCAGCCTGGTATCCGAAATCTCAATAATTCCCTCCTCACCACCGGCGACAAGCTCGTGGACATTGATCCAAGCTCCTGTATGCTGCCTAATGGACTTGATAATACTCCCGGACTTGCCAATCACTCCGCCGGCTTTCACGTCGTGCACAGTATCCGGTACGTGGTGGTAACCATCAGCGAAGTGTCCGATTGGGGTTTGGAAGTCTGGCGAGCGACACTAGTGTTATTCGGAGTTCGCAGCGGCGGCGGAGGGGGCAGAGGAGTAGCGGTGGAGGCACCGTCATTGTCGTAGTCCTGGTGGTCGTAGTAGTAGTTCCGCTTGGATCTTGATCTCTCCATTGATTGTTTCAAACAAGTCGAACCACCGAAAATGACAACACAAATCGGTCTACAATAATGCTGTCAAGGTCCCATGATTTATCTCTGATTGGAGCTGAGATTAGGGTTTGTAAGAATTGAGGTAAAAAAGGAACGTGTGTTCGTTGATTGCCGGAACTGGTGGCTGCACCGTCGCCGAGTAGGAGTTCTTCAGGCGAATCTTCCCTTCCGATTCAGAGCCATCTCCCGGTCTGTTTGTTTGCCGAGAAAGTGAAGAGTTCTGGCGGATTTTGTGGACAGAGAGCTGCGAAAGAGAAGAGTAGGCCTTTGAAGACGAAGAAGGTGAGTCAGTCGAGAGACTCGACACTCGAGGGAGAAAGAAAATGGAACGCCGCCTAGCTGAGGGCAGTGCTCTGGTGCAACCAGATTCATACAAATCAGATTGCAACGGCCTTCCTACTGTTACTCGAATCACAAGGTTCCATACTTCACTGGTCGCACACCTGGTCGGCCAGTAGCATTTTGTTTGGTTGAACCGGTTCAATTGCATGCCGATTAATGTTTATAAACACAAGAAATGGGGCATCAGATTGGATCGATTTTAAGTTTCAACCCGAGAAATGAGATATATTACCACCTACATCCAAAAGGGATTAAGAAGTAATTATTGGTAATTAGTTACACTACAGGACTACGGTAATCAGCCTAGCTACCTTTAGGTATTCTCACTAGCTTTTGCCAGTGCTGGACTGATCTAGCACTGATCAGCTGTTGAGCTGTTTACCAGAGAGGCTACCTCCGTGGCTCCACTCGCAATAGTTGTATCTTCCTTGGAGAGTTCGATTACTCGAGCAGATTCGCAGCCATTGGAGTCGTGGAAGTTGGCAGATTCGCAGCCACTTGCCATGGATGTATCCCCATCGGAAGCTTCAATCATTCCAGTGGAGTCCAGACCAATCGTGTGATGGATATTGGTTCCATGGCTGCCTTCCTGACTACCAACGGGTGCCTGAGTTTCAGCAGCAGACAGTACAATATATTCTGTGGTTCCATTTGCCATTGATGTATCCCACTTGGAATCTAAAATCGCTCCGGTGGAATGGAGACAACTCGAGGTGTGGATATTGGTTCCATGCTGCCTTCCTGACCACCAACATCAGGTGCCTGAGTTCCAGCAGCGGACAATACGTCGTCCTCTGTGGCTCCATTCGCCATAGCTGTATCTCCCTTGGACTCTTGCAAAGTTTTGGTAGAATCTTCACCATTTGTGAGATGGATATTGGCTGTGTCCCCACCCACCAACATCAGCTGCTTGACTTCCAACAGTAGACAGTTTGGCCTCCTCACTTGCCATTGTTGTATCCCCCTTGGACTCTTGTAAAATATCAGTGGAATCTTCACCACCAACATCAGCTGCCTGAGTTTCAACAGCAGAAAGTTCGGCATCCTCCGTGACTCCACTTGCCATTGTTGCATCTCTTTTTGATTCTTGTAAAATTTCAGTGGAATCTTCACCGTTTGTGTTATGGATATTAGCTCCATGACTACCAACATCATTGGCCCGAGTTCCCACAACAGACATTTTGCCATCTTCTGTGACTTCTACATTCGCCATTGTAGTATCTCCCATGGAATTTTCAAATACTCCGGTAGAATCTTGAGCACAGGTGTGATTGACATTGGCAGTCTGGCAGCCTTTGTCACCAACAAGAGCAGATGGTGTTGAACTTCCTACAGCAGATGGTGCGCTGTCCCCTGGGACACCAGTTGCTACTGATGGATCCCCCTTGGAGTCTTCACCAGTGTTCCCACAACAGAGGTTAAGCCATCCTGTGTTGCTCGGCTTGCCACTGATGTTTCCCTCTTGGATATTGGCACCATGCCCGCCCATTTGTTGCAACATCAGATTTTGATTGTCTAGAGTAGGATTGCTGTTGTTGATGCTTTCTCCTAGAGCACCTTCCATCCCTCTTGGATATTGGCACTGTGCCTGCTCACCGACAGCCATGTGTTGAAACTGTGCTCCAGGTTGACCATCTACAGAATAACAAGCATTACTAATAGGTCTACTTGGGCCACTTTCTGGTACTTGACTCGTGGGCTTCTTCTTCCCATACCTTTTTTTTACCGGCATTTTCTTATTGAATCGTGCCTTCTTTGCTTTGGAAGCGGTGTTGGTTGTCTCCATTGGGACACTTGGGGCTTCCAACACTCTCTTCCTGCTAGGAATTACTGTCAGCATAGCGTTCTCAGTTGATCTTTCAGATAACTCTATACTACTTTCCTTAATAGCAAACCAGGCAATTCTCGCAGCTTTTATCTCTGCTTCTTTTTTGGATGTTGCCACTGCTCCAATGTACTTTGTCCCTCCAATCATTACGGAACATTGGTAACCACATCTATGTTTTTGTGTTTCCAGTTTTTCATGCTGGTACAAAGGATTCGCGTAACCCATCTTCAGAGCATATTCCTGAAGCAGGTTTTTACAGAGCCCAGTTTCATGCTGAAAGGTAGAGAAAACACCAATAACGGTCAGGAGACTGAGCAAAGATGAAGTAACAACTACACTGCTAGAATGTTCATAAATCATATCAATAGCAAACTTATCCCTCTGCTGTGTTTAAATAGGCTGGATATATGAATTAAAAACAAAATGTAAGAGTTCACTAATAAGATTTAACGAAACACTTACTACTGGTTGAGATATCCTACAATTCACTTGACCAGATTTAGTTAACTCCAAGAGGGCCACCTCTGCAGCTGACTGCTCCGCTGCTTTACGATTCATAAATCCAAGAAGCGAGTCATATCTCACTTCGTTGACTATTACCGTTGACTTGAAGAAAGGTTCATGAGGAAGGCCTTCTTTGGTTGTCTCATATACAGGTGTAGGAAATCCTGCCTTTTGTGCATACTCTTGTAATCGACTCTTGAAGATGTAACAGCTCGATACACCTGTGCACAAGATAATATTTGTATTATACCAACTACTTAAAAAAACTAATGATGAAACAACACAAGAATCAAATATATCTGGCAAGATAAGCATGCTACTAATCCATTCAAAGAAGAATAAGAGGTAAGTAAATTGCTACAACACAGAATCCCACGCTCGCCTCACACAACCATGATTGCAAGCAAAATCAACAATGTTATTACAAACTAGGAGAGCAGTAGTAGTATTCATTATACTAGTAGTTCGTTCCATATTTCCTTGATAATATAATTATCGAGAGAGTTACCGACACAAGAACCCACTTAGCTAATTACTTGAAGCTTGGGCTATCTTAAGGGTCTAGCAAGCTAGTCAAAAGCAGCTGTCCAGATCCCTTTTATAGCAAGTATTAAACCAACTTCCTAAATTCAGTTGAAGTAAAGATAACTAATGACCAGAGTATCAAAGAGTACAGCTAATCCATGATGAACCGGGCAAGAGAGTGAATCAAGCAATCTTAACCACATGCCATATCATGTTGCTAAGAGAGCTATTCCACGATAATCTGCTCACAGTTCAAGCAATAAACTAGACACTGAAGGGCCAACAAGAGCCAAATCCCACAGATTCACCACGCAATTCAGCTATTACAATGCCAAGCGTACCAAACAAAGATTCCAACTAAAACAGATATGAAGCTTTGTAAGAGTAGCATCCAGATAAATTATCAGGAAAACGAGCAGGAATCGGGACTGATTCTACTAGACAGGGAAGGAACCCTAGTATTCAGAAAGTAAGAGAGCTAGCATAAGCCAGCATCGATCATAAAGATCGCATTCAGGAAGCTAATTACCATCTTCGGTACGAGCGTATTTTCCGGCAGAAACCTGCTGCGACGACGACGCCTGGGGCCGGCCGGAATGTTGTCCGTCGGACATTTCTGGAAACCGTTAAACAAAGTGACAAACAGATAGTGGGAAGCCGGAGCAGGGTGCGAGAAACACGGAGAGGGAAACTTGTTTTCCACCTCTGGGATTGAGGGCCTTGTTGGGCCCATATATAATGGGCTTTAGGCGCAGTCAGCTCATTGAGTAAAATGATGGGCTTAGGTCTTATACAACGGGGCTAGGATGGGCCCAAATCTCCTGCTGTGTTTTCCAATACAGTACAACAATCAAACCTTTCTTGCCCCCGAAAACGAGATAAATTGCAAGTGAGAACAGACATCGAAAAAGACTTCATCTCATTGCTACATGAAAGTATGAAACTCCTCTGACACAGTTATGATAAAATCCTGAACAGAAAAGGACCGAGAAATGAACGAATCAGCAACGATCGTTACAAGAGCATTGTCCATTCCAAAACCGATGGACTCTGTCACTCTCCCTGACGAGAAATTGTCTGCGAATAATGGCTGATACGCACTTGAAGGTGTTGTGGCAATCGCCACAGATGCTCAGATTGTTAAGAATGCTTATGGGTAGTCCAGGAGGGATGGATATGAGTCCGAATGCCAGAGCGATTTTCTCACTGTGCTGCCAAGCTTCGGCCGATCTCTCTTCTGTGTCTTCTGAAACATCAGGGGCAGGACTGGTGTCTGAGACGTAGCCAGCAGCTTCGACATCCTCTTTCAGTTTAGCCAGCATTTTCTGAATGTCGGAGTTCCTCTCATGGGATGTGTCTTTACAATCGAAGGCGTGGACTTTACCTTGAGCCGTGATCCAACTACAGTTCGCATCTTTCTCTACACCCTCTTTCAATTTAGCCAACATTTTCCGAATGCCAGAGTTCCTCTCCTTGGATGTGTCTTTAGCTTGGACGACGCGGACTTTACTTTGAGCTGTAATCAAACTACAGTCCTCATCTTTCTTCCTGCTAAGACTTGCTGCCGGCAAGGACGTCTCAGTTGATCTATCTGGTACCACTGTATGTCCTTTCTTAATAGCATGCCAAGCCGTTCTTGCAGCTTTTATCTCTGCTTCTTCTTTGGATGTTGCCACTTCTCCAAGGTACCTCCTCCACCCAATCACTACAGAATATTGGTAACCATGTCTACGATGGTCTTCAAGTTGGTACAGAGGATCCGCAAGACTCATCTTCTGAGCATATTCCTGAAGTTGACTCTTAAAGTTTTTGCAACTCAATATACCTGGTACAGGGAAAATTAGCTGTGTTATACGAACTACCTACTATTAGTCATGATGAAACAACACAAGAAAGAATCAAATCTGGCTTTGCAAGATTAACTGAATCATGATCCTTTCAAACAAGTTCAAGAAATAAAGAAACTGCTAGATCACAGAATTTGCCGTACACCTCGAGCAAAATAAAATTGAAAACTTCATCAAACCAGGAGGCAGAAAGTGGTAGTGATATTCACTACACTAGTAGTTCTTCCATATTTATCCGATAAGTCAACTGTTGAGAGAGTACCAACACGAGAACCTACATAGCTGAACTAAAAGCTTGTGCAATCTTCAGGCTCTAGTGGTTTACCAAGCTAGTGAAAAACAACCTCTCCAGATCCCTTCAGTCCATATTAAGTCGACTTCTCCAGTACAGTAGAAAGAGAAATAAATAACTAGTTGGCAGGGTTCCAAAAAGTTAGCCAAAAGAAGTACATCAAGCAGAAAATGAAGATCTTCAGCAAGACTGGACTGACAATAATCTAATCCTGTATTACGTCTATCGATAACTAGGCGCAGGAGGGAATCAAGCAACTGGAAGGACATTCCGCGATGTTCTTCTTACAATTCAAGTAATAAGTAGGACACTGGAGGGGTAGAGAAGAGGCTTAGGGACTGGCAGCAAACAGGATAACTGTTGCTGATCGCAACAATCTCAACGGCAGGATGAAAGAGCTTCATCCCGCTCTTAACTACTACCAGCAGCAGAGTAAACCTTATGAGCAGTCAAATGAGCTACTTGATCCCACCCTTGCCCAAAGGAACCCTAATTTTCAGAAAGTAGAAGAGCAGCAAAATCAATAGCGATTATAAGGATTGCATTTCCAAAGCTACTTACCATCTTGAGTACGAGCGCGATCACCAGCTGAATCCAGCTGCGACGAAGACGGTGGCTGGGGTCCGAGTGTTGAAATGCTGACATTCATTCGTTCCAATGCCGCTCCAGGGTCACCATCTTCAAAATGACAATCATTGCTAGTATGTTCACTTGGTCCACTTTCTGGTAATTGACTCTCAGGCTTCTTCTTCTTCTTCCCATGATGTTTCTTTTTGGATCGAGCCTTCTTAGCCTGGGGACTGGTGTTGGTTGTCTCGTTTGGGACACTCGGGGCTTCCAATACCCTCTTCCTGCTAAGACTTACTGTCACCAAGGACTTCTCAGCTGATCGATTGGATACCTCTGCAGGTCCTTCCTTAATAGCAAGCCAAGCTACTCTTGCAGCCTTTTTCTCAGCTTCTTTTTTGGATGGTGCCACCTCTCCAAGATACCTCCTCGATCCAATCACCACAGAACATTGAAAGACGTTTCCAGGATGTTTTTGATGCTCGTACAAAGGATTCCCAAGACTCATCTTCTGAGCATATTCCTGAATCAGTGTCTTACATAGCCCGGTGTCATGCTGAAGAGGTAAAGAAAACACAAACAACGATCAGGAAACTGAACGAAGATGAAGTATACGACTACACTGAGAGAATGATTGTTCATCATGCTGCTTTTGAACGGGCTGAAATTGCAAACTGAAAAAAGAAAAGTAACATTTTACTGTTTTGATTTAATGATACACTTACACCTGGTTGAGAAATGCTACAATCGCCTTGACCAGATTTAGCTAGCTCCAAGAGGGCCGTCTGTGCTGCTGACTGCTCTGCTGCTTTACGACTTCCAAAGCCAAGAAGAGAGCTATAACGTACTTCATTCACTATCACTGTTGAATGAAAGATAGGTTTATGTGATGGACCTTCTTTGGTCGTCTCGTAAACAGGTGAAGGAATTCGCTCCTTCTGTATAAACTCCATCAGTTGATTCTTGAAAGTTTTGCAACTCGATATAACTGATACAGGGAAAAGTAGTTCTGTTAGACCAACTACCTACAGTCAGCCATGATGAAATTCTGTTCCATCTTCAGGGTCTACCAAGCTAGTGAAAACCCACCTCTCCAAATTCCCGTTAGTCCGTATTAAGCCGACTTCTCAAATACAGCAGAATGAGAAATAACTAATTGGCAGAGTAGCAAAGAGTATGACAAAATAAGTACATGAAGCAGAAAATGAAGATCTCCAGCAAGAGTGAGGGTAGGATGAAAAGTGCTTCCTCCCGCTCTCAACTACTATCATCACTACAGTAAACCTTACGAGCAGCCAAATGAGCTGCTAGATTCCATCCCTTGCCCAAAGGAACCCTAATTTTTAAGAAAGTAGGGGAGCAGCAAAATCAACCGGCGATTTTGCATTTCAGAAGCTACTTACCATCTTCAGTAAGAACGCGATCCTCAGCTGAATCCTGCTGCAATGGCGGCGGCGGCGGCGGCGGGAGTCCTCCGGCGGGATCTTCGTCGGACATCACTGGAGACCGATACAGAATCGGTTAGAAGTAAGGAGGAACTGCGCGTAGCCGGAGTAAGGTGCGAGAAACACGAAAGACGGAAGGAGTGGGAAACTTGTTTTCACAATCGCGGCGGCATTTCCCTCTGGTATTTAGGGCCTTTCTGGGCCCGAATGAGATGGGAATCGGGCTGGGCCTGATACGATTGGGCATGACCGGACCCAAACCTCCTCCTCTGTTACCCGGCAACCATATAACCGAGCTGAGCCCATTAATATTCCGTTCTTCAACCGATCGCCATTGACAACACTGAGCAATTCATTTTACTGATAGCTTTGAGATACGGTAAGGCTCTTGCTTCGCTTCTCCTCACCGGTAAAGTAACGGACTAGCTGCCGGCGAATGGCCGCCTCTATTTTATCGTCTCCCTGTTTCGCCGACGATCAGTACGTCCTCTCTCTGTCTCTCTCTCTCTTCTTTCTTCGCTTGAGAGCTTCACGCTTCATTTCTTGATAAGGTAGCCTGTTCACTGGCAAGTGGCATGTCGTACTGTTTGTACTTTGTAGAGTTCTTAAGTTGAAATAATGAGTCCGAATACTTGTATCTTCGTTCGGAAGGAGAATGAACTGAGCGAATTCTGTTAAAAACGGTTGAATTGAGAAGTCTTGGTAATGGTGTTTAGTTGGAAGCTGTGAATTATGCAGAATATTAGATTTTGTTACTGTTCAGTTGTATGATTGCCTAGTTTATGTCCCAAGGAAGTGTGCAATTGGTTGAGCTTTCGATTCGATCAAGTCAAATGCTTGCAGATTGTGGATAGCTTAAAGCTGAAATTGTGTGTATCTTCTTACATTGACGTTTCAGGTTCACTAGAGCATGTGTATGTGCACAGTCGATCCCCAGGTGGGAAAACATGATATGTTTAAAAGCTTCAATTCGGAGTGGAAAACAGCAATTCGATACCAAGTTATATATGGTCCCTTCAACAATTGCCCATCGGCGCCACTGGACATCGAGAATGTTCGCTTCTGTTGGCTCGGCAGATGCAGATACGGCATGCCAAGAAAATGACGTTTCTTCCCGAGCCTCGACATCGAGGAACTCCACGAGGTGGGAGAGTTTGTTTTTGTAGTTATGCTGCATGCCTCTGCGGTCATTGTCTCTATATATTGTTGCCTTTTTCTCTTTTGTTAACTTCTTTGGATTGAAAATATTGAACAGATTTTTGTGACTCGGATGTGTTAGTTTTGGTTAGCAGGAGTGAACCGTTTCTTGGCGAGTCGAGGAGCCACTCAGATGGAGCGGTCGATTTTCAGATGCAGTTGGAGGAGTTGTTTGAAGAAGTCAAAACGATGGTTAAAATGGGAAGCAAGGATGAAGCAAGAGACTTGCTTCAGGCAAACTATGAATTTGTCAAAGAACAGATTTCTGAAGGTACCAAAGGGATTGAACAGGCTGCCACCCTTGACATTGTAGCCTTGGGCCACTTGCTTCTTGGAGACTTGGATCTTATTGGACGTGTTTTGGATACTGTTAGTACCTTTTCCCCCTGACTGTTGATTTACAAAGATAATCTTTCATGACTGTATTGTGTGCTTAGCTAGTATTTCTACTGACATGATTTGCTGAACAGTTGCAGGAGATTGTTGACCTGCTAAATGATGACATACCTGTTCTGGATTCAGTATTGACACATATGGGCAGCATGTATTCAGCGATGGGGAAGTATGAGAAATCTATGCTTGTATATCAGAGAGGCATCAATCTTCTAGAGAAAAAGTATGGTAAGTGGAACTGTTTTTCATTCTACTGAGCAACAGAACTTTTGCCATATGGTATATTAAAATCTTTGCCTGTCTGCTCTTGCCAGCTACGGCTAACTGTGTTTATATCGCTCTGGTACTAATAACTAGGTTGACTAGGTTGACTACAAGTTTTAGATGCCCTGTAGGAGTTTCTCTTTTCATACTCTGAAGAAAAACTTGGAAAGTTGTCAGACTTGGGCTCCTTGGATCTCCTTGTGCGGATCCAGCGGATTATTGACAGGACGACACCCTTGCAAATGTTTCTTTCATCAAAGATTTAAATTTCTTTTGTTTCATGGGTGTCAAACTATCGCGATAAGAAACATTTAATTTCAGGAAATTTTGGAACAAGAGAGGCTGGAAACTGTTTTGAAACCGGTTTTGTATATGAACCTCAATAGTAGCCACTTGGTCAATCAAACAAAGCATTGAGTTCAACTGTGGCATTGTTCTTGTTTCTTGTAGGGCAGTCTAGCACTTACCTTGTGTCGCCTTTGCTGGGGATGGCAAAAGTTCTTGGTTCTCTTCATAAGGCCAAGAAAGCTGTAGAAATCTACCAGCGTGCAATCAATATCTTGGAATCAAGCAGAGGTGCTGAAAGTGAAGACTTGGTTGTACCTTTATTTGCTCTTGGCAGCCTTTTAGTCAAGGAAGGAAAAGCTGCTGATGCAGAAAGTCCATTTCTTAGGTATACTTTACTTGTGTGTTCTTTTACCTAATCATACAGAGTTCACATTTTTCCTAGTTGTTTATTCATGTATGTAGCTGTTTTTTATTCTCTCCAGAATCTTAAGCATTTACTCGAAGCTATATGGGGAGGGTGATGGGAGAGTGGGAATGGCCATGGCTTCTGTTGCCCATGCAAAGTGCGCATCAGGTAACCAAGTCAACTTTCCATCACTTCCAGTGTATGCTATACACATATTGCTTATCCTTTTTTCCCCCATTATCTCCATAAAATCAAAGGTCTCAACATATACATGCTTATATTTTGCAGGGAAAGCTGAAGAAGCTATTGATTTATACAAAAATGCTCTTCAGATTATGAAAAATGGAAGCTACACGAAGTTTGATGATGGTGTGATGGAGAAGATGAGGATCGACTTAGCTGAACTGCTTCACGTGGTAGGAAGGTAAAAATGCCTGTGAGAATGCATTTTCCCCCTTTGTGCTGAAAACTTGGTAAAAATTGTGCTTTTTGGGGCCGAGATTAACTCCTCTTGTCCAATGATTTGATTGTGATCATAAGAGGGAAAGAGGGCAGGCAACTGCTGGAAGAGTGCCTGTTGATTACTGAGAAGTATAAAGGGAAAGAACACCCAAGCTCAGTAACCCACCTCCTAAACCTTGCCACCTCCTACTCACAGTCGAAAAACTTTGTGGAGGCTGAGCGGCTCCTGAAAACAAGCTTGGAGATGATGAGGAAAAGTGGGACCCCCGGTGACGACGGATCCATTACATTTCCAATGTTGCAACTTGCAGTTACCCTCTACCATTTGAGAAGGGACGATGAAGCAGAAAAGGTTGCGCTCGAGGCATTGCACATTCGTCAGAAAGCATTTGGGAAGGATTCCATCCCTGCTGGTAAGTTACAGCTCCTTTTTATCGATCCAGTTAGTAAATGTTTTGATTGATGAATCATCCGGAGCTGAAAACGACCATGATTTTGACTTGTGAGGTCTTTTTCTCCACCACAGGGGAAGCTCTGGATTGTTTGGTATCCATCCAGAGTAGATTAGGGAAGGCAGATGCTGAACTGCTGGCAATGCTCAAACAGATGCTTAAGATTCAAGAGGACAACTTTGGTGTCGGGAGTCGAGAGACGATGCCAACTTTGAAGAAGATAGTGTTCTACTTGGAGAAGGTTGGAAGGAAAGACGAGAAAGTGTTTATGCAGAAGCGATTGGCAGCGTTGATGAAGAAATTTAAACAAATGGTCGAGTACTAGCTAGAAGAGGATGAATGAAGCAAAAGTTTTGTTTGACATTAGTGTACTCTTAATACAGGAAGGGATGCAATGTTGTATGTAGCATATTTAGGATAGTGCCGGAACTCGTCACACATGCCATGGCTTTGCACTGAACTCCCTGATACTAGAATGAGAGAGAACCTTGGCCAGATAATCTATATACTAGACTCCATCAGAAAGCTATCCTACCCATCTCGAATTGCCTCCGGTCCATCGAGCCTGAACATGAAGAGACCAAGGTTAGGGGACAAGAAGAAAACTTGTCATGTGGATCAAAACTTGTCATCAGTCTGCTCAACAACACTATTTTATTTGCATATATTCTTACCATGTGGATCAAAAGAAGAAAACTTGCCCAACTGAACGCCATGGAAATGCCCTCTGGAAAAATCTCTACCCCTTTCTCCAAAGCTGGACTGGACCACCATTCAATACCCAGGTCCAGAGTTTCTTACAGAGGAACAAATTACAGAATTCAAGATGACGAAATTGCTTCTTCACCAAGTCACAGAAGAGGGTACAGAAGTTCCAAACAATCAACCATTCGGGTGAGATGGGAGATGTTGCGAATTTGTTTCCTCTGTACAGTACATTGAAGCTTGGTTTGGGGGGTCCTATATCAATGAGGTGGAGGGAGAATGCAGTCAGCAGATTCAGGATTATTGTGTTGAATCCAAATCGAAGTCTCCATCTCCAAGAGCCCACATATCTGTTCTTGCTATACAATCAAATACCGACACCCAGTCAGCACAAAATTCTTAAACCAAGAAATCAAACAAAATGACTGACCAGATTGCTGGAATTGAATATGACCTCCTTGTAGAAATTGGCTGCGAGTCTGTTGTAGATTCCACTGGGGATGCGCTGAGAATAGGTGCTGAGGCTGCTGCCAGTTCTTCTGTTCTGATGAAGCTCTTCGGTGCCATCCTTAGTTTAATTCAGCCAGATTTCTTCATCTCATCACCAATAATCTTTACAAGAGCATTGGCCATCCCAGAACCGATGAAATCTGTTATTGTCCCTCACCAGTATTTCTCTGCCAACAATGGCTGAGATGCACTTGAAGGCGCTGTGGCAATCGCCACAGATTCTCAGATTCTTCATAATTCTAATGGGTACTCCATGTGGGATGGCTATGAGTCCGAATGCCAAAGCGATTTTCTCACTGTGATGCCAAACTTCCGTTGATTTCTCTTCTTCTTCTAAATCATGAAGAGCATAGCTTGTGTCTGGGATGTAGCCAGAAGCTTCCATTTGCTGCTTCAACTTAGCCAGCATGTCTTGAATCTCAGAATTTCTCTCATGGCATGTGTCTTTAGCTTGGAAGAAATGGACTCTACTTTGAGCTGTAATCCAACTACAGCCTGCATCTTTCTTCATTCCAACATCATTCATTTCTCTTCTCACAAGAGTAGCTTCATCCCATCTTCATCCAAACCAAAACCGAGTGACTCAATAAAATACCTTTAAGGAAAAGAACATACAGGAGAAAGAGAAAAACGAGAGAACTTGAATCCACCAACCTGCCAGCAGCAACAAACATATTTGACAGCAGGACATGATTGCCAGAATCTTTTGGATCGAGTTCAAATAGCTTATCAGCAGCCACTTTCCCAATCTCTGGCTTCCCATGCACCCTGCAAGCATTTAAAAGAGCTCCCCAGATGGAGATAGTTGGTCTAATGGGCAATCTTTTTACAAAATCATAGGCCCGCTCTACCATTCCAGATCGAGCCAACATGTCCACGACGCAGGCATAATGCTCGGGTCCCGGTTCAATGTGATACCTCTTCCTCATCGACTCATAAACATCCATGCCAGTCTCGACTACCCCTCCTCGACTACAAGCTGACAAGACACAGACAAACGTCACATAGTTCGGAGCAACCTTAGATGTCATCTGCTTAAATAGTGCAATGGCCATATCAGCATGTCCTTGGTGTGCATATCCGCTGATCATTGCATTCCAAGCAAACAAGTTCTTCTCAGGCATCTCATCAAAGGTCTGCTTAGCATCACTGATGCTTCCACATTTTCCATACATGTCTACCAGGGCACTTCCGACGAAAATATCAGCATCCACACATGATTTAACAGCAAGTGCATGGACTGACCTGCCCATTTCTAGTCCGGCAAGCTCTGCACAAGCACTGATCACACTAGAAATCAAATAGTCAGTTGGCTCAAACCCTTCTTTCCTGCACTCCATAAACACCATACAAGCTTTCTCCTTTTCACCATTCTGTTCGTATGTAGCTACCATGGAACCCCACGACACCAAGTTCCTCCTCTCCATTCCATCAAAAACCATCTCAGCTAGTCCAACCTCCTTACACTTTCCATAACAATCAATAAGCCCATTCGAAACCGAGACATCATCCTCAAACCCACCCCTAATCAAGAACCCGTGTAATTGCCTCCCCAACACCAAGTTCAACGTATCAGCACATGCATTCAGAAACGCACACAAAGTTATCGCATCAGGCTCTCCAACCCCAGCCCGACGAAATTCAACGAACGCGGATACACCAACCATGGGCCTCCCGTCCAGCACCGCGTTCGAAATATACGCATTCCACGTGACAATGTTCCGTTCAGGCATTTCATCGAACAGTTTCCCGGCTTCACTCACCAACCCAATCTTGGAATACATATCAAACGCTCCGCACCCAACAAAGACACTGGCGATCTGCCCTATCTTGACAGCCAACGCGTGGACCTGCCGTCCTATGCACTGAAGCTTGAGCGAAGCCGCAGCTTTAAACGCGCAGGGGAAGGTGAAATCGTTTGGCAGAATGTCCTCGTGGCGCATGCTAGCGAAGTGCTGGAGGGCGACGGAGAAGTGGCCGTTCTGGACGCATCCGGAGATGAGGGAAGTCCAGGTGACGACGGAGCGCGAGGATGCACGCCGGAGAACGAGCTCGGCCGGACCCGGGAGGTCAATTTTGGAGTAGAAGTTGACCAGGTGGTTGTCGAGGAAAGGAATGGGATGCTGTGAGGCAAGCAGCGTCTTGATGATCTGGGCATGGGTGGCTCTGCCTAGAAAAGCATGGCGAGTCGAGACGGCGGACTCGAGAAGGGAAGCGAGTGCGTTGGGGCTGAGAGCTGGCATCCTTTGATTGTGTAACAGACGGAAAGCGAGGCTTTCATTTTTGGCGGGAAAGGTTACCATTTTAGCTGAGGCAGAGTTCCGGCAAGGATTTGTATGGAAGTTTTTGGGGAAACTACGTCGTATTAGGAATCTCCGGCCAAGATCGAATCGATATTAGCAAATCATAGCTGATTTATTTTTCAGAACTGCAAGTACGAGTTCATCACAAATTTATTGTTATACTCTAGTATTCATTGAAATCGTTAGTCTTGGAGACATGACATTCAATCCAGCTGTTCGTATATTCGAAATCTCATTACAGTGCGACGAATCGAAAGTTTAGATAGAAGGTGTTGCGGTGGACAATTCGACTTCAAAACTCCCTCCATGGTTCGGTTTCTACTTAATAGTATGTGTTGATGTTCTAGTTGAAGGACACGAGATGGCAACCAACCAGAAGTTAATCAATCAACAACCTCGAAGCAAAAACACTCGTTCTAGTGCGATCCGACTTTCGGAAGGATCGTTGGAAGCTGTCCAGTTATACTCGTTAGACAATAACTAGGCTCCACTCTGTGATGCAAAATCAGGTAGTCGCCCCAAAGGCGTCATTAAATCTTTCATCACTGCATAGTCTTCTGTACCAATACGAGCACCCTCCAACACCTGTTTTTCCAATAGAAGAGACAATTGAATGAACTGGTAACCGAATGACCGAATGTAGAGATAAACAGTGATGATGCAGTTAGTCAGTTCCTCCTCACCTGGTGGATTACCCCCCTCCTATTGCTGATGTGAGCGGCAAGAGCCGGGATCCGACATATAGATAGAGCTTCCAGGAACAGAATAGCTATCACTTGCCATTGTTTCATTCTGAGTGCTGGAATTGCATCCGTGAATCCCATCGTGTTCAACAGACGTCCCTACAAAGGAATCAGAGACCAGTTTCAAAAAGGAGCTTTGTATTCCAATAGTGTATGCGATTTTCTAATGGAGAAAACTTTTGTCCTGAAACTGAGGATTTGCAATACTCCAATTTTGGTTATCAAGAGCATTTTCAAACGTTATTGCAGCGAAATCATAGCATAAAGAATCTCATAGTTCATACCACTCCTTGCTCCAAGGTAGAATTTGGTATTGGTAGCCTCAGATCGGTGACCACAGCAGGTAAGGCCCGAGCTAGACAACCCTCGACAGTTCGTTTGATCTCAGAAGAGCGGCCATCTGCTAAGACAATTTTATGAGGGTACTCCCTCCCGTTAACCGATAGATAATCTTCGTGGGAGCTTTCATCTTTCCCGTATATGTAGGCCAAGCTTGATGAGGTTACCCACCCAAAGAGTGCCATCCACATTGTTGCAAATGGGGACAACTGTGAAAGAAGGAACAGAGATTACCATGAAATATTTTGTACTATGTTGTTAAGGTAACAACATGACTGCTTTCATTCACACAAACCTACCTCCAAGCTGAATCCTTCTGGAGGACCATCGTACCAGGAGTCCTCAGGGTCGAACATATCAGTTCGAGGAATACCAGGCTTGCTGGGCCACTTAGTATCTACAGACTCTTGGCCTTCCATATTATCATCTTCCATGAACTTGTTATGATCAGTAGTGTCTGCTTGAGGTAATATGATTAACCCAGCTTCAGAAACTGCACATAGATGCAAAGTAGTAAAAATGAGTGATTTATCATAAATTAAATCTGCAATAAGCAGTCCATTTATTGGCCAAAATTTCATTTTGTTTACTTACTGGCATCAGCAATGTCAACCTCTCCAGATACAGCGGCTTCTGCTGCTTGCCTGAGAGCCATTGCACAGGCTTCGGCCGATTCAAGCAACAAACTGTTATCATCATCTCCTTTGCACGTAGCATCAGAAGAAATCAAAGTATCGGTGGAGTTCCTTTTTCATTTCCCTATCCTCATGAAGACCACTATTTTGGAAGTACCAACTTCCCCATCAGCCCAAGTAACAGACCGACCTAGTTTCTTTGCACCAGGAGACTTAAGAGAGGGCCTCAGCCTGGATTGGCAAAACTCAGATCCGATGTCAACTTCATTGGTCTCTTTAGCTCCATCATTGATCAAACTGGTAAGTGCTTTGAGGATTTGATGGTGAAGCCATGTCTTGATGGCCCGATCCCATCTATCTTGACCGCTTTAGCCTTGCCTGAGTTGGAAGTTCTTGAGATTTTACCCGAATTCATCTTTGTTGAACCAGACTGATTGAGCCTTGAACTTTCCACTAGATCCCTTCCCTTCTATATCCTTCACTGCCGCACTAGATGTTGCCGAGCTTGAAGGAGACTTAGAGATGCTACATTCATCACCTAATGATGATGGTGCTTGTGAAGTCCAAGTCACTTGACAAATGAATACTTCTCTGAACTCGATTTGACTTTATCTGCAATTTGACCTACAATTCACATTCAAAAGATTGATCAGTAATGTGACTCGGAACAATACTATTGGTGAGCAAGGATTTACCCTCAGAAAAAAAAAAAGAATATGAAAGGGTGAAAGGTACAAGATACAAGGTAAATGGTGATGGTGACCCCAAATCTGTAACCAGGTGGTAAGGTATTTATAGCTGAATTATCATGATAGCATACAATTATTTCTCTCTGTCAAGTATAAGCAGCAACAGAATGCTAGTAGATGTAGTGAATAAGAGCAAAAGCTATATCTAACTAGCTATCACCTTTTGCTGGTGATGAAGTCTTGCAGCTGCGATCTCTTTGAGGCACATAACCTTCAATTGCATTTGATGGACCAACCCAATCTTCCAAAGACACCTCGCCAGCTTTGGTTTCAGCCTTCTCCTGGATCATCAAATTCAACATTCCCAAATCGCCATTCTTACCCATACCCTCAGCAGAATCCAAGCTCAGTTTGTCAAACAGCCTCAAAATCTCGGCGAGTTTTGCTGGATTCTGAACCATGGATCGCTCTTCCTGCAAGCTCCCGCCAAAAGCTCGACTGTTAACAAGACAACTGGACGAGCAGTACATGTACGTCTCTTGTTGGTCATAAACTTTGTGTTCCTTAAGAGAAATGCGGTACCGGCCATTTCTAGGCTGATCAGAAGGCAAAGAATTCTTGCAGAGAGGATAACCACAGAGCTTTCGCAATAGAGCGTTCAACCACGACATCCTGATAGTCACCCCGAGACATCAATGACCCAGCTGCAAATAGCTGGTCTTCATTCTGGATACCGTCGAGTAAGGAAAGCTGTAATCTGTGGACAGCGTCTTTGACTTTCACAGAGGTTGATTGATTCTCTTCCATTTTGAAGATGAGGTTTCCGACGGGATCACCACCACCAACAAGCCCTCCCCGGCGACCAAATTAAAACCCCCCGTCTCCGACAAATTCAGTCGAAGTGATCTCAATCAATACCCTACCAATCGATCTTTGCGATTTCTCACTTACCCTCGCCGTCGACTTTTTGAAACTTCCCTGTAACTTTGACTTCAGAGGTAGCTTGAAAGAAAAATCCCCAAATCTTAGGGTTTTTAGGAAGCCCAATAGCGTAACTCCATTGATTTCAGGACGCCCCCAATTCGAAAAGAATGTAGGAGAGTGGCTGGGAGACAGAGAGACCTTAGTTTTCGCCGATTGTCATTGATAGCCGCCGTTCGCACAGCTTCTGTGACTGAGAGCAGCACAGTTTCGTCAAGCAGCAACTGTTATTGTTCGTCAAGCAACAGCTCTGCATCCCACCGTCAATGACGAAAGAATTTTCCCTCCTCTTCTTCAAACAACGTTCACGAACCGGTACTCCGTCGGTATCAACGATCAAATTTCGCGTTTTCACTTCCTTTCTGCAATGAACGCCGTCGTATTAGATTTGGCCCGGTGCTCAGTCAGCCGTCGAACCGTATTAAACTTGCCAATGGTTACAATGGTAATAACCAAACCAATTAAGGCTAAATTTCATTAATCATGAAATAAAATGTCTTAACCAAACCGTCCAAATTAACACGAAAACCAAATTAATCAAATCAATGTTTAATTGGTTTGGTTAATCGGATAATCGGATTAACCAAATAACATAACATTACATAAAAACAATTATCCTGTTAATGAATAAAATATAACCATATGTTATTACTATCATAAACTATCATTATATATAAACAATAATAATAAAAATGATCATCTATGATTATCATTATCATTCGAGTTAATACATCATCTCTGCCCTTAATATAGTTAACATACAACAAACCCTTAACATAAATATTAAATGCATACCAATACCACTCATCAGGAAGTTAAAGCTCTCCTAAAAAATACTTAAACTATACATAGTTTGAGGTGTTTGTCATGGTACTGTACGTAATCCTAAAGTTTAGTAGATGTCCAAAATGTTTTGGTTTAGTAAATAGGCAGACCCATTTAATTTTGACCCATTATGCTTTGGTTTGTTGTGCACGTGTAAATAAAATAGGGAATCACGAAAATTTGGTTTGGTTTGGTTGGTTGCATGGAAGTATAAGTAATTTTATATATTAAGTGTATCATTAATTGGTTAATTGGTTTCATTAGTTAGCAGTGTTGAAACCAAACCAAACCACCTAAACCAAATAAGCTAAATTGTTTAACCAAACCAAACCAATTATCCAAATTAACCAAACTAAAGCAACCAAATGCTATCGGTTAATATGGTTACCACGGTAACCAATCTGTTTGAACACCCCTACTCTCCAGTCTCCTAAGCCTTCATGAGTACCACCCAAGGTTGTCAACCCGCGGGTCGACTCCTGGGTCGATCCACTTTGACCCTGACCTGATGAGAAAAACGGGTCACACGCACCCGCCGGGTCGACCGCTACAGTCTATAAAGTATCGTGTTGGAAGTCAAATTGTGTCATTTTTTTCTTTGGTTTGCGAAATGCGCCTATTTTCCGATTTTTCTTTTCGCCTAACTCAATCTTTGGAATCCTTAGTTGAACATTGGAATATTTATGTTATATAAGTGTGTGTGAATTTTCACTATATGTTGGATCTAAGAACGACATGTTACTTTGGTGTAACGTTATATGTTATTACTCATCTGTTAGATGAGATATGTAAGTGTTGGGGAAATTGTTCACGTATACTATTTTCTTGCAACACAAGCAAACACATAAGATTAAGGAAAACATGCAAAGACACATGCAAGCGTCCTAGCCGATAGAATTCACTATCTCTCCTTAAAGAATCTTATTCCCCTCAAGTACCCAAGGTTGTGGAATGATTCCTCCCAGGATAGAAAGGACGTACCTTTTCCGGCGTAGCGGTACCTCAAACCCCGGAAACACCATCGAACGCAGCGAAACGGCAAGAACCATACTTGACTCTATTTTCTCTTTGAAAAGAATGCAGAAAAAACTAGTTTTGGATTTTGGCAGAGTTTCAGTATCGGAAAAAATCCATGTAAAACTCGTTATCAAAACAAGAGGGGGTATGGTGATATTTATAGAAAATGAAGGGGTGCGTACGAAGGGAGGCGACTCTTCATATGGGTGGTTACACCCCAACCAACACATTGGTTCGTTTTAAAATAATAAACCATTGCATCGGTTCGGCCTATGGTAGTTGGACCGGTTTGGTTATTCCAACTGCCATATCGGTTCGGTTCGATTTGGTTCAACTCGGTTTGGTTTGGTCCGTTTGGTACACAAACCAATTTAACCGATTAACCACATATTATATCAAATCGATCGAATTCAAGGCCGTGCCTTCCCACATCTTACCAACATGGTACTTCAAGAGACTCTCTTGAAACTTTCCCCTTTTATTTCCATTCACACCACTAAAAATCCCAACAATCCCCCACATGAATGGAGAATGTTGTACTTTAAAAACTATGCAAAAAATCGTGTGATTCTCGACTAAGAATTAGTTGCATCGGAATAGGTAGGTTTCCCTTTGAACCTTCCTTAGTGAACATATATCGAGTATACTCACCAATCGGTAGATGTGATATCTTTGAACCGTCGGTTTTTCTTGTACACTAAGACAACATATGTCACACACCTAACTCTTATCCGTTCACTGGTTCTCATTGTTGTGTTCGTTTCAGCCATGAACACCGCCTGGTTTCATGAGTGTGTAGAGAACTGGCCTTCTTTTATTCTCCTTGAAGCGGCTCCACTTCACACTCACATAGGTGATTTCTAAATGTGTATTCCGAAAATACACTATTTGATCACATCCTGTGTCAAACTTAGAAGCCATTAAAAACCTTTCATCTTTAGGTTTACCCTTATAGTTGGACATTGTCTCATCATGAGAATGGACTTTGAATAATTTGACAATGTCGGACCATCAATCACAACTTTGTTTCTCCTTGAACCTAGAGGTTGGGTCTGCCAATCCTGCTTAGGTAGAGTTACCGCCATGAAGATTTGTCCTAGGCCACGAGTCCATTCCCTTTGATGCTATCGTTAATTTCTAGGTAGGCCTAACGTTTGTTATCACTTGATCTAAGATGATCAATCCAAATAACTTTGCTAGAAATTAATCAATCCATAGTGTCACGTTTCATTATCTTTGACGAGATTTATCACATAACACTCCTAGCCCTTGCAATAACACCTTTGTGCACAAGTGCGTTTTATTAACGCCAGTCTTTGCGGGCCAAACTACTCAACTTCACCGATCTTAGAGTTTAACTTGGACGTTTTCCAAGATACTGCTCCTCGTTAACCATAAATGCCTATCCATTAATGGACTATGGCTTTTGGTTCATCCGATGAGTACCCTTTGGGTAAAATTCACCAAAGACTCGTCTCTTTTCGATTCACTACACATCATGTGTGTTTGCCTTGATTTTATTGCCTTGCAATAATCTTAACACATGCCAACGGTGTTGAAGTCTCTCTACTTCATTAACCTTAGAGTACTTGATTTTTCACAAGTATCTCTTCAAATGTAGTGACATTTATGTCTTAGCTTAGAGTTTACACAAAACTCCTAAGTATTCACATCACTTCACTTTGGAATCACCCAAGCGACATTCCACATCACTTCTCCCCAATTTATCCTCCACATTTCAACTATTTCGCCATAGTTGTTGAAACCAACGTTTCCGGTTTGGGGAATGTTGTTCATATACATTCATGTATAAGGTCAAAGTCATCTCTTTGGGAAGAGTGGATCAACATCAATAAATATTCTGACAAAACGTCAATATATGCTAGAGTTTACTCATAAGTTATACCCTTTGACTGGGTTAACTCCACAAGGTTTAAGGACTCTCACTTTCTCGTTGGGCACCTTCATACTTTCAAGTATGACTTCGCTTACCTTTCCACTTTTGTCTTATGGATAGGTTTGCGTCCCATTGTAGGGTCTCGAGATAATAGCCGAAACAATGGCTAGCTCTTCTCCCCCACAATTCTACCCTTTGCCAAACATCATGGAATAATCCCATTTATTTTCCATGGTATTACTTATTGAACTCGCCAACCACTATATGTATCTAATTGTTTACCAATGGTATGATCTCACTCGATTAGCATACCACAAACAATTCAGATTTTTTTATTAGAAAAATCATCCAATTACTTACCAATGGTATTGATCAAGGCAACTTGAGACGTCATAAGTAATTCAGATGCATTCCAGTAATGGAAATCCCATCTAATTACTTTCCAATGACATTTCATCTATGTAACATGATATACCACAAGTAATTCAAACGAATTTCTAATTCAATTGTCTAATTACTTTCCAATGGTATAAACTTCATAAATATACCATAAGTAATCCAGTCTTTATGTTCAATAAGATCATCTCAATTGAGCTCTCATTCCAAATTGTTTTCCAATGATATTCATCTATATATACCATAAACAATTCTGGCAAAATAGCTCCACGTTGATAATCATAGTCAAATAGTTTTCCAATGGTATAGTGTACTTATACCACTCAACATTCTGACCTAATGCTTATCCTGATGACAACCATCATTTGGCAAACTTATTAAATCCCTATAAGGATCAATCACAACGTCATTTTCCTTGCTCTCGTGGCATAGGAAACATCAAGTCCTAAACCACATACATGATAAATAAATTATCATGTCTTCACAACTATCACAGGAACTAGAATTCCTTATCGCTTATAGCTTTCTCGTAATGCAATCCTTAAACGTGCATTAACCAAATTTCATCTCCAACACATTGGAGGTATACTCTTTCAAACTATGTCCAACATACTATGAACATTACGTTTGCTACCATTCCGGCATAGATAGACTTGACTCACAAGTCCCCACTTGCCACGCTCCATAGGTTTTACACACCTATGATTGTTCATATTCTCCCACTAGATAGTTTACTACTATCCAAACCACCGTTACTTAGAGTCCATGAAGGACTATCATAAGTACTTCCATCATCTCAAGCATCACCTTGAATGAAAAAGTGACCAAATTAAATTGGAACAATTATCATTCATCCATGCCACATAATTGAGATGGACCAATGCAATAAAAGCATTAAAACTTTGTGGTTAATTTTGGAACCAAATAAACTCGTAAGGTTTTATCCAACTAATTTTCCATTTGGGAGATAAGAACATTTGTCCTTTATTCATTATGTAAATACACGACTTACATAGGTACACACATATTAATACCATATGTATATATACACACATACATATGTCTACTCCTCAAAGGAGATTACAATACATATACTAGAATCCTAAGGATTCTTGGGGTCGAAGTCAGGATCAGAGAGACATTCATCGGTCTCTATGTCGGAGTACTCCTCCTCATTCTCCGATTCCTCAAATTCCTCTTCTTCCCCCATACTCTCCATCGAGTCCACATGGGTGCCCACATCGTCCACATTAGGACCCATTGAGTACCAATCATAGATGGGTAT